CCAACAGCCTTCAGTTAATTTTACAGTCCTTTCTCTTCCATCCAGTGCTATAGTAACCGCCTGCCTAGATGATGGTATAATTTGGTCTCGAGATGTATTTTTATCATCTGCAAAGAGGTTCTTCATGAATAACACATGTGAACAATGCCATGTTTTAGTGCTCTTTAACTGGAACCTTAAATAATAATTTCTCTGAATTTTTTGTTCTTTATGACCTTTATAAATTCATTAAAGATAAGAAAATCTGGACTTTAAGAGTAACAACATTTTTATACATTCCCATGGCATGGCTGATAAAAAGTGCTAAAACAGAAACAAGAAAGCATTGGTTTTTTCAGACTCGGCAAAATTCTATTCAACAAAAAAATTATTGTGCAAAATGTCAGGAATGGAGACAGGTAGAGAGAAACTGAAAAAAATACATGTATTCATATTCTCAATAAGCACAGCCTTTAAAGAGAAACCTTCAAACACAGACATGTTAACATCTCATAGACAAGTAATTATTAATACATAAAACATAGAGGTGAATGATGGTCACAGCTCCACTATTGCCACAGGTAAGTTCTGTTCAGATCTATTTACTATTTTCTGAATCTACAAATTAAATCATACAGACTCAAGCACTTGGTAGTGGAGAAAATGATCCATGCTTTACTAAGCTTGCCTAGTAACATAAATATTAAAGAGCGAGACTATTTACTACCCATAGGGTTCGAGAAGCATGTGAGAGCTTCAGAGACCAGCGCCTCAGGGCCCTATGGCCTCTTGCCAGCTTCAGAGGATGACCCAGGCAATGTCAGTGTCCTCATCCTCAGCTGTGGCACAGAACCTAGGGCCTGTGACATAGTGCTACGGGGACAACACGGATGGCTAAATACATGAATTAGGAGAACAAACTTCATTAGTTGAGAAAAATTTCATGTTCTCAAAAGAATATCAGTCGGTCTTGGGCCCAAACCTTCTGCCACTCCTGTTTTCTATGACCTCACTTCCCTTAGTAGCTCTTCTCAAGAGCCCAGATGGGACAGGGGTACCCTCCCCTAACCCCCACCACCACACACAACCAGACACTGCTCGTATCTAAACTGACAGTTGTAAGTATAGGTCATAAATATAATGAAAATAATATAGAGATTTAAAAATACATACACATACAGAGAGAGAGAGAGAGAGAGAGAGAGAGAGAGAGAGAGAGAGACAGACAGAGAAAGACAGACAGAGAGACAGACAGATAGACAGATGACAATGGAGAAGGATTTTCCTTGGAAGTCTGGCAATTTTTGTCCTTTCCTTCTGTTTATTTTTTATTTTTTTCAATAAACACATGTTAAAATAGTTTCATGGATTATACAGATAAGACAGAACGTTAGTATATGTTTATATTTTCAAATTAAACATTAGCTGAGAAATTCATTAATGACAGAATAATTCATTTCCAGACCTGTACTAGGTGCTGAAAGTAGAGAATATGAATGATACTTTCTCAGCTTTAAAGATACTTGACAACTGAAGGAGAAATGTATTTTAATAGTTAACACAGAGTACCCACTG